CGGGGTCTAGGGTGTGCAGTTTAGGGCTTAGGGCTTCGGTGAACAGCGGGTGGTGTTGGTGCACGAAGACCCAGTCCGCTTCTGCTGCTGCTGCAGCCACACGCGCCAAACCCTAATTTAGGGTTTAGGGTTTAGGGGCAGGGTTTGGGGTCTAGGGTGTGCAGTTTAGGGCTTAGGGCTTCGGTGAACAGCGGGTGGTGTTGGTGCACGAAGACCCAGTCCGCTTCTGCTGCTGCTGCAGCCACACGCGCCAAACCCTAATTTAGGGTTTAGGGTTTAGGGGCAGGGTTTGGGGTCTAGGGTGTGCAGTTTAGGGCTTAGGGCTTCGGTGAACAGCGGGTGGTGTTGGTGCACGAAGACCCAGTCCGCTTCTGCTGCTGCTGCAGCCACACGCGCCAAACCCTAATTTAGGGTTTAGGGTTTAGGGGCAGGGTTTGGGGTCTAGGGTGTGCAGTTTAGGGCTTAGGGCTTCGGTGAACAGCGGGTGGTGTTGGTGCACGAAGACTTAAACCCTCAAATGAGGGTTTAGGGTTTAGGGTTTATATCGCAGCGAAATATTGTGTGTTTCCCCAAACCCTTTTTGTTCGTAAAAACCGCCAAAGCCCTTTTTAATCAATTAAAGCTTAATTAATTAAAGTTTATTTAATTAAATGAAATCCTTTTTAAATATTTAAAAGTCCCGCTTAAATAATGTGAAGTCCCTTTTGATAATTAATTTAAAATTCATTTTTAAGAATTAAAAGTCTCTTTTAATTAATTTAAATTCCTTTCGATTAATTTAAATGATTTAATTGAAATAAACTTTCATTAAACAAAATAAAGTCCTTTTAATTGAAATAAATCATTTAAATCAAAAAAAATATTATCAAACGAAATAAACTGCCGTTAATAAATATAAATCACTTATAATTAAACACTTTGTCAAACAAATAAACTCTTTTTAACAAAAATAAACAATTCAAACAAATTAAATTTTCAACAAATGAAATAAAGTCCTCACCAGCGCGCAGCACATCTTTCAGAAAAGTCATTTGCTCTTCGACAAAAATGGAATTCGAAAGAAATATATTTGAGTCCAAATGAACATTAACAATGGTCACTGAACTGGTTTCGGGTGTACGTACACCTCGCGCCGGCTCCTGCGCGCAAAAAACGCAAACCCCCAAACCCTAATTTAGGGTTTAGGGTTTGCCGTCGGCGCTTCGCGCGCACCGTAGGCAGTCCCTAAACAATATTCTAGACCCACTGACAGATGCCAATCCACACTCTACGCAAACCCTAATTTAGGGTTTAGGGTTTACGGTTTGGACGCACTGTTATGGAGCCCCTTTTGAAAGGAGACTCCTGTAGATGCACCGGGACCTGTCTGTACACCAGACGAGTGTAGTACCAGGGATTTGGAAAGCGCCATCGGACATTTGCTGCTGCAGCAAAAAGCACATTTGCTGCTGCAGCAAAAAACATTTGCTGCTGCAGCAAAAAGCATTTGCTGCTGCAGCAAAAAGCATTTGCTGCTGCAGCAAAAAGTATATTTGCTGCAGCGGCAAAAATACATTTGCTGCTGCAGCAAAAAACACATTTGCCGCTGCAGTTTGCTGCTGCAGAAAATGAACATTTGCTGCTGCAGCAAAAGCGACATTTGCTGCTGCAGCAAAAGGAAACACTTGCTGCTGCAGCAAAAGGAGGCATTCAAGCGATTTGTTAAATGATGAAAGACAAAATTAGTTTTAAAGACCTGTTGATTATTAAAGAGACATTTAATTCAAAAAAGAATTTAATCTCGTTAATAATAATTAATTTAAAAAAGCCACTTGAGAACAGCAGCAGCAGCAGCAGCAGCAGCGGGAGTCTCAAAATGTGGATTTGAGCCCTGAGACCGGTTTTTTTGCGGGATTTTTCGCAAGGAGTTTGAAAAAGGGGATAATAAATGCCCATTTGGTCGAAAAGTTTGTCAATTTCGACAAAAAGTCGCAAAGTTTTGACCCACAGTTGAAGTCCAGGGGGCCCCGGCAGCCGCGGCAAGCAGCGAAGAAATGCTGCACTTGGGCGTCGGGCGAAAGCTGGTAGTCGTGGTTTCCCAGAATTGGAAAAAAGGCCACCTGGAAAAAAGAAAAAAGAAAATAAAAAGACAGAAAGAGACTCAAAAAGAAGAGAAAAGACACAATTAGAGGCACAAAACAGATGCAGCAAAAGGCTGCAATCATCTCTGCAGAAAAGTGCGGAAAAAAAGATGCAAAAAAATCCAAAAATTGAAAAAAAATGAACAAAAATTAAAAAAGAAAAATTCAGAGAAGGGGGACTCTTGCAGATAAAAATAAAAATAAAAAACAATAAAAATTAAAATAATAAAAAATAAATAATAAAAAGAAATAAATGTATACCCGAAATGAAATAAAGAAATAAAGATAAAATGCAAATTAAAATAGAATGAAAACCCTAAACCCTAAACCCTAAACAAACCCATACACCCAACACTCTAAACCCTCACCCCTAAACCCTAAACCCTCACCCCTGATCCCTAAACCCTAAACCCTAAACCCTAAACCCTAAACCCTAAACCCTCTCTCACGCGTCGGAGTGCGGGGTGTCCGAAGGGCTCTTCGAAAACACTTTCGAATTCTTTGTCTTGAGGTGTCTGTACACCTGAAGGGTAAAAGTTGTCTCCCAAAAGAGACACAAAAGAGACCGGCAGCAAAGAGCTCAACTCCCCCATTCGGCGAGTCACCTGCACGCAAACCCTAAACCCTAAACCCTAAACCCTAAACCCTAAACCCTAAACCCTAACCCTAAACCCTAAACCCTAGACCCTCAGCCCGCGTTGCCGGGTGGCCGAGAGCCCTGTGGGGGGCTGAGAGGCCCGCCAGATGCACCCAGACCCCAAACCCCAAACCCCAAACCCCAAACCCTAAACCCTGAACCCTCGCCTTGTGGAGTCCGCTGGAGAGGAGGCCTGTGTCTCCAACTGCAACAAAGTAAACCCCTTTGGACCCATCTCGAACTCTTTCTGCTGCTTCTGTCCCTTCGCAATTAAAATTAAAATTTAAATTTATTTTTTCTTTCGACTTTGCGCAGCGCAGCGAGTCCAGAGAGTGCTGCCACAGCGCAGGGGGGTCCACTGCAGCAGCAGCAGCAGCAGCAGCAGGAGCAGCGGGGGCGCCGGGCTGCTGCTGCTGCTGCTGCTCCCCGCCGTCGCGCCGCCGCAGCGAGGGAGAGGCCGAGCTCGTTGCTGTTTCTTCAGCTGCTGCTGCTGCTGCTGCTCCTGGGGACCCTGCTGCTGCTGCTGCTGCTGCGTCTGCTGCTGCTGCTGCTGCAGGCGGGGAGCTCAGCGGCGGCAGCTCCAAGTTGCTGGTAGTTGCTGCAGCTTCTGCGGACTCTGTGGCCCTCTCTTCGCCGCTGCTGCTGCTGTTGCTCCTGCTGCTGCTGTTGCTGCTGCTGCTGCTGGTGCTTGTGCTGGTGGTGCTGTTGCTGCTGCTGCGGTCTGCAGCGAGAGGGGGAGCTGGGGTGGCTACAAGCGTTCCTGCTGCTGGCGCTGCTGCTGCTGCTGTTGGCGCTGCTGTTGCTGCTGCTGTTGCTGCTGCTGTTGCTGCTGCTGTTGCTGCTGCTGCTGATGCTGCTGCATGCAGCGGGTCCGGGGCGTTGCAAAGGAGTGCGCAGAGGAGGGAGGGAGCCAGGAGCTTCATTTGCTTCTTTGCTGCAGTTGGGGAGAAAGTGGAAGATTGGAATTTTTGATTTTTGTCTCAAAAAGAACTAATTAGGCTCTTTGGCAACTATTTAGAAGAAATTAGAAAAGAAAATTCCAAAGAAAACCCCCAATTGCGCAGAGTGCGCGTTGGCAGCAGCAGCGGCGGCGAGAGCAGCAGCTGCACTTGGGGTGTACAGACACCACGACGCGCGAAACCAAACCAGCTGCAACCAACGCCGGCCTTCAGTTTTTCAATTTTGAATTTATTTTTTGCGTTTTTTAACGCAATTTCATTAAAATGGATTTATCTGGCGGATCTGGCGGCGAGAGAGCCGCGGGAAAGATCTTTCTGGCGGGCGGCGGGTCTGCGGGGAGGCGCCAGGGCTGCTGCTGCCTGCGGCTCCCTCGAAAGAAGAAATAAGAAACTTTTTGGCATTTATTTCATTAAAAAGAAATACACATTCAAAGAAATCCAAAGAACTCCGCGGCCTCGCGAGATTCCCGCAGAATCCTCCCGGCGACCGCCTTCACCACCCCCTACCGCTCACGCCGCTAGCGCTGCGCATGCAGCTCCTCTTTTCCGCATTTTTCCTTCTAAAATAGTACTTTTTTACTTTTACAAGTCTTTTAAATCTTTTTTTTGCTTTTTTCCGCAACTTTTTCCCCAATAGGCGCTCGAGATTCGCCCGCGCGCGCGCGAGCGCGGGGTGTACAGACACCGCGTACTGCAGCGCCCGAAGTTCAACTTCGCGAAAGACAAAACCCTCGCCATTTAATTCATTTCTGTTCATTTATTTCTCGTTTTAATTCCATTAAACTTTAAAAAGTCTCAAGAAGAACGATTTAGTTGCGCTTTCGCGCCCCCCAGACACTCCGCTGCAAAAAAGGATTGTCTTTGGCGACTTTTCGCAAAAAAGGTCTTCAAATGCCGTTTTTTCTTTCCCTTTTCTTTTCAAAAAGCAAAAGACATTTATTTCTCTCCTGTCTGCATCTTCTCCTGTAATTACACCTTAGGAGGAGCCTCAAGCCCTTCGAAAATCAGTTTTTGAATTTTTTTCATTTCATTTTTCAAGTCCCTTTAATTTCAACTTTTCCTTATTCAGAAAGGCCTCAAAAAAAAAAAAATAATTCCATTTTTTAAATGAAAAGATAGATAATATAAATTAAAGGAAGAAGTAAATGAAAAAAACGACCAGAGAAGCCATTCGTGCTACTCCAATTAGCCTATAGGACCAAGGATTTAGGGTTTAGGGTTTAGGGTTTAGGGCTTGCAGCCTTACTCAGTATTTGCATTATTCCCTACTGTTTTCTACTATTCCCACCATTTAATTATTTCTGCGATGTTTCTCATTTTTCAATTTAATTAGTTTAATAGCAATCATTTTATTGCAATTGCCAAAGCCCTTTTATAATTGCCGGTATTTCTATTTTTATTTTGGTTTTATTTCCGAGTTTTATTCTTATTCATACTTAGCAATTTTTTTTTAATTATTTAAATTCAAATTTCTGTTTTGTTGTTCAAAAACGAACAACTCTGACTATTTTTCCCCTTATTTATTCTTGACGATTATCTCTTTTTAATTCATTAAGTTATTTTTCAAATTATATCTGGACATGTATTTCTTTTCTATTTCATTATTTCTTTTTATTTGAAGGTCAAAAGCCCTTCTATATACCATTTTGCGATAATAGCTCTTCTGTTTATTTCTTTTTACGAAATAGTACTTTTTAACTGATTTATTTTCGAAAAATTCTTTTTTCACTTTTCGCCAATTTGCAAGACTCGGGGTGTACCGACAGCAGAGCGCGCGGGCGGCGCAGCGCATGCAAAGACGCCAAATGGTTTTATTTTAATTTAATTAAAAATAAAAAAGAAATAAAAATAAAAATAAAAACAAAAACAAAAAGAATAAAAACAAAAGAATTCCTTCTCCGCATATACACTTAACAGCCCGTTGAGGTGTACAGACACCCCGGGCGGCGCCGCGACGCGGGGCGGCGGCGGCAGCAGCAGCAGCAGCAGCAGCGAAAGAAATATGGGAAATATATTAATTGAAATGAATAAAAATGGGAAACTAAAGAATAAAAAGAAAGGAAAGTGGATTTAAATTCAAGTTTCCGGCGAAGGGGCACTAGGGCTGCTGCT